TGCCTGGCTTAGTATAATGAAAGATTCTGCATTTTCCATTTTCTAAGATAAAAACAAGGCAAAGAAGTAATAGGATTTTTGACTTACATGTAAAATCCTTTTCTTGAAGCATAGTACAGGACACAGAACTCAAGTTGTACCCGTGGGTTATATTGTGCCACCTTAAAGTGATTAAACACTGGCAAACAAAATTGTTAGGACAGCTCACCCACCCCCAGCAAGTCTCAGTTTTGCAAACAGCAGATGGAAAAACTGGGACATCTCAAAGAACGAGCACAAGGGGGAGAGGGCCATGGCAGTACCTCTGTACTGTACACTAATAAATTATTTTACAGGCAAGTCAAAATGCTATTTTGTTAATCATATAGTAAAGGACACAGGACTTTAGGCATAACCATGAAAGCAGTCCAACTGAGGGATGAGCAACACAGAAGACAAATGACAAATGCTAATAGGCCCACGGAATAATGGGACAAGAAGGACTGAAAATACCCATGGAGCAACTTAAAGCACCAAACACCTGAATTTGGTACCAGAGAGATGGACTGACAAAAAAAGGAGTATCAGAGCAGAGATAAACTTGAACAAGAAATACTACATCCAGACAATGGGGAGATAACTCCAGAGGTTGTATAGCAGCACAACATAGAGAAGGCACGTAACCAATGAAGGAAGGAGAAAAACTTAAGAAGAGAGAAGACCCAGACCCCAATGCAATCGGAGTAAGAACATTTTCCTTATGAGTGAAGGCTGCAAACTCAGAACTTGCAACACAAAAGTGAATGTGAGAAGGAAACTGAGTAAGGATAGACAATGAAAAATTCCTACTAAAATTCAAGGAGCAGTCCATACTAGGTTGAGTCACTGGGAAAAATACAAGAAGAACAATTGCAAGCAACACCCTTTACATAGGACTCCAGAAGCAGCCTCAGAAAGGAACTTCTAAGGCTGGGATTAGACCAGGGGTAGGCAATGTTAAAGAGGTGGAGATCTACCTGAACATGGGAGAAGTCAAAGATCACTGGACACAGTGGTGCCTTGTCACACCTGTGTACACATGCCACAGCAGGAATTAAACCCTCTGTTGCTTTTGGTGGGTGCTACCTCCTGCTAATTGCGACCCATTCAACTAAATGGGGCCACTCTGCAAGCTGCCTGCAACTGCACACTTCTGCGGGGTCCAAGGGGTTAAAGCAGGTGGTGAGAAAGCAACACAACAGTGCCTGCTTTAACCCCTTGTTTACTGTACTGCAAAAGGTTGCAGGGCACTTCTAGAATGGCCTCACTCACTTGAATGGGTCAGGCTTGTCAGGTGCTATTTTCATCAACCATGACAGGGTGTATAACTCCTGCTACAGCTGCAACATGTGTACTCCTCTAGCCAGTGCAGCTAAAGAGGGTGAGGTTGGGGTGGGGATGGTAAGAACACTTCTTAACCATGGGGTTTTTCCACCCCCAGACTGCAATGGTAAATTACTTTTACTGTTCGGAGCCTCCAATAAGGCTGTTTTCACACTGATGTACTGCAGTTTACCTGCACCACGGGTGCAACGCAGTGCATCTTCAACTTTTCTGGACAGGAGCCAGCACCACAGAGGAGACATCAGCTTATGTGGCTCTTGCTCCCTACTACAGCTCCAACTTTACAAGTAGTCCCTCTGCATTGTATTCTGATTGATGGTCTGGGTTGGCAGGTCAACAAGTTCAGACCACAATCTATCAGTCACCTGGCGGCGATCTACTGGTAGATCGCGATCTATGGGTTGCTGACCCCTGGATTAGACCCATGATGGTCATCAAGGCCCAACACTGATCCAGACCAGACTGAAAAAGCCAGGATAGCCCTTGTTCACCAACCAAATGCCTCTAGACAAAATATCTCCACATACCAACTCATCTGAAGAGATAGGTTACACTTCCACAATATCCTTAGCTGAATGAAACTGTAAGAAAAAACTGAGATGGTCAGGGTGTGGCAGATGAAGGAGAGGCAAATGTCATCTGTGACCTTGACACTATAGTCCATCCTACAACCCACTAACAACAATAACACAATAGTTGAGTGCTCAATCCAAAAACCAGGCGAATATGCAGAGTTGAGCAATAAATTATAAGATTCAGTATATGTTATATGCAAGTACATGAGAGGCGGAATGGGAAAACTTAGCTTCTCAGAGGCATCCTATGACCCACAATTGAGTCAGCAACAGAAAAAGGTAATTCACAGACCAACTCCGGAGTAGAAGGATTAATGGCCCAGCTTGGTTAGGTCATAGCAGGGCATGATACAACAGTACAGTATACAAGTTAAACAGTACCAGTAAGTTTAACTGACATGCCACCTATAGAGCAGTAGGGTTAAATTGCTTTTTGTGACTAGACCATCTCATGCTGCTACATATACAGTAAAACAGTAAGTAAGGGAGACATGATTTACAAGAGTAGAGTGTGGACCAACAGCAAAGTGGGAAGGGTAAAAGGCAATACATGACCAAAGCACCCTATGTCATCATACAAAATATTTGTAGGGCCAGGTCATCTTAGGCCATTACACAGTGACAACGACAAACAGTCCACAGTGAAAACAGTACATAGACAATAAAAGGCTAATGCACAGACCTACCGCAGAGCAGTAGGGATTATTGGCAGTTTGTAACTAGTTTATCAAACAGTAAGCAATGGGATTGTCCAACCAAGGGTACACATAGCCCCCCCTTGCTGAGTAAGAGGGATAAATGGCCATGCATGACAAGGTTACCATAGCCCCTGTACCAACAGTAACCCGTAAGATGTTTGCAGGAGGTTTATAAGCAACCCTTTTGCTAAGTATGAGGAGATATTGACCATGTATGACTAGATCACCATAGGCGGTCATGCAACCAGTACAGAAGTGAGACAGTACCAGCAAAGGAACTCACTGACTTACTGCAGGGCCGGAAAGATAAAGGCTGATTGTGACTGGTACACCTGAAGATGCTATTCCAACAGTATGCAAGTGAGTCAGCACCCGCAAGATTTACTTATTAAGGTATTAGTCGCCATTCATGACTGGGTCACCGTAGGCTACCATGCATTCCATGAGACAGTTCCAATAGTACAAACAGTAGATAGTAAGATATCCCTAATTAGTGTTACTCATGGACCTACTGAAGAACAGTAGGAGATAATGGTCGTGCGGGACAAGGTCACCATAGTCCACCGTACAAATGATTTTATAGTGGAGGTATTAACAAGGTCCACTCACTACCCAACTGCCAAGCAGTAGAAGTTAAGAGGCATGTGTGATTGGGTCAATCTAGACTGCAGTACAAACAGCAAACAGAAAGACATTACTAAGGTCTACTTACAGATCCACTGCAGAGCAGTAGGGATTAAAGGCCATGCATGACTGGGGCACAATAGGCTGGTATATAACAGGATATGGTGAGACATTCCCATCCAGGGGTTAGTCACAGACCACTGCAAAGCAGGAGGGGTTAATGGCCATACACATGGTGACCACAGTCTGCTGTCCAACAGTCCATTGCTCACAAGGTTACACTCAACACTTTAGCAGTTAATTTTCATCCATAGCAGTATAGTAGGTATAAGCCTTATACTGGCTTCACCCACCTTGATGGGCATACACCCTGAATTGCAGGCAGACCACAGCCCTGGACCTGTACAGCACCCTGTAGCTAACTCAATGTGATGCACCACATGCCAAGGTGAGTACCCACTCAGAGTGACAGTTCGTGAATCTTCATCTAGATGGAGTACTGGTACGATTCCTCAAGGTTCAGCTGAGGCATCAACCTAACTGAAAAGCTGGAAAAAAGACAGCCACATTGTCTACAGTTCAGCTAGGGATCTTGAGAGAAAATCCTATCACAAAGAGGAGAGAGAGAAGATGTCCATTATCTAAGGACACTAGCAAAACAACAAGACTTTCTGTAAGTGGAAGGGGTTACATCGGCGTGTCCTAATAACTATTTGCCAGTGTCCAATCATCCGAAGGTGGCAGCCCATTATAAGGGCTGCCACAATTATTGCGTCATGTCATGTTTCTGATGTGCACTTAGATTATAAACATTATTATTTTCTTTGTTCAGAAATATAATTTGTTTTAATACTGGACATCACGCAGCAGCAAAAATGAATATGATGTAAAATCCTTTATTACCGTATTATCAGAAAAAATTAGAATGTAATAAATGCTAATCATTAATAAAAATGTTTCTACATTTTATTTAGGACTAAATACCTTGAGGTTTTTTTTTTATTGAAGACAAGAGCCAACTTACTTAGCTTAGTAAATACGGCAAAGATGCATTCACTTTGAATACCCAATCATGTGCAATGGAGATTTATAAAATAAACAAAAAAATAGATAGCACATAATTGGATGATTAAAGTAAACACAGCTTCACCTTATTCACTTTGCCCAGTGAACAGTCTTTATTATCTAGTAAATCAATCCATATTCTATTACAATTAAATTAGAAAACTGTTTCAGCAACTGTTTTAGGGCTCGTTCACACCATTGTGCAGAGAATTTAGTTTTGCATGTGTTCTACAAAGACACAATGAAAATTGACTGTTCTCTATGTGCCCTGTTCACACCACAACACAGGTATCACATGCATATTTTTTCTGTGCAGGAATCTGCAAAGTGTATAAACTCACTGAAATGTGCATGAAAACTGATGAAAACTGATGTAAACTGATGTCTCTGCAAGTGAAATCTGCGCGTCACTTTCCACAACTTTTTCTGCACTATGGTGTGAACGAGGCCTTACAGTGTTCCTTATAATATTTTTTTCAGTTTGTCTGAATTTATTGTATTTGTTATATCATAGTATACATAATGTTTTACTGAATCTAAATATGGCGTTATATTAAATAACTTTTATATGTGCCATACAGTTGCTTGGACATTTACTGCTTGATAATTTTACTGAATTTTATTAGATTCATTAACAAATTCTTCCTTTTAATGTATTACCTAGGAAACACCAAAGGATGTTGTTCACCATGCCTTCCCTACAGTTGATGCTCCAGATCATGTTCACTATACTATTGGAGCTGTAATCCTGGCAGTAGGAATAACAGGAATGCTGGGTAACTTCCTCGTCATCTATGCTTTTTGCAGGTACTGATATGTGTCACTCTAGAGCCTGCCAAAGTTGTCACAATGTTAAATTGATATGGAACTTTTGGCATAGACTACATTTGGGATACCTAATATATATTCCTTAAGGATAAATTCCAGGTATCGATATTTTTATGTAATTACATTGTTCCAGCTTGATGTAAGTATACATAGACCATACCCTCAAAGCTAGAAACCACTGTCATAGTTTACTCAGAAAAATAGCTACATTCTGTTCCCTATTGGCGGTTGTAGGTTTTCTACCTACTGGGATCCAGCTCTGGGTTCTCTCTTGTCCCTAAGCTATTTTATCTCTAAGAACATTTCTAATTGCTGGCTGTCGTGAGGGTTTTTACCCTTGCAGAGTCAACACATGCACGTACTGTAGGCTCAGTCTGGTTACTAGAGAGTTTTTGTCATTTGTCACAGGTGAAAGCTACAGTATTAAACATTATATCAACTGTGGGTCAAACTATGTAGTCTATTTAAGACTGTCATTGCATGACTGTCATTGCATGTTCTTTACAGTATGTGGGGCTGAACTATACGCCCTACGAGAACCTGCATAGGCGAACATTACTGCAATGTTCAGAATGTCAATTCTAAGCAGTTTTCAAATGTATCTCATCATTTTAGGAGGTATATGGTAATGGTATGTCCTCCTTTAGGCTTTGTGGGATTGAGTGTGCTTCCTGCTGACAGGGGTGGAGATAGACACCAAATGGTGTAATGTAAGGTGTGGTGGATACACAGGTTAAAGGACACATGCACCCCAATTCTTGAATCTCCATCGGGATTTTGACATATTGTATATCTAGGGTTGCCACCTCACCCCTTTAAAACCGAACACATTATTTACACGGGTTCTGAGGCTAATTTAATGCAGATAAGGCACTAAGAGTTTAATTACCGCCTTAATCAGCCACAAAATCTGTGTAATTAATATGTGCTTAGTTTTAAAGGGATGAGGTGGCAACCCTGTGTATTTCTCAAATGTTCTTGCTGCCCCCCTGTCCTCAGGATATGCTGATCTTTTTGTTAGGACTTTTTTTGACAATGCATTGTGTGGAGGTATTTATGATCATTTTGGATAAGTGCTATTGGTGCATATTTTATATTTTGCATTTCCATTAATATTTTTTTGTTTAATGTCTAATAGAGCCATATGTATTTGCTCTTGCTGTTCATTTTCATTGCGTATGTATTTTTATTGTGTGTACCTCCTTTTAGAGATCGATTACCTGTCCCTCCCCATGTGCACGGGAGGTGCAGGTATTTAATATTGTTTGGGACTGTTTGTGTTAGCCATGATTAAAGCCTCTATGGGCTGAAACACGTAGGTCTCTTGACTTGATTTTACCTCTACTGCAATAAATGGATATTTAAAAGCAGAGTTTATGCGAGTTGCTGGCTCTCTCTTTATGGACTGTAGTAGGCACCACTACTTAAAATACATATAAAGATTTTTTTCATGATCACAGAACAGCATTTGTTGATGTTTTTTATATGTAGCCAGACTTCAGCTGTATTACACATATAAAATAGCACCCTTTTTAGTTTAATATACAGAATATGATCTTAGATAAGATGTGTATTATTGTATTATACATAAGCTAATTTTGTTGAATGTATTTGATGAGAAGAGAATCTTTAGAAAAGCAGGAAAAATGTCAAAATTTAATTATATTATTTTTTGTTGGATTTACATAATCCATTTTGCTATATTTAATGTCATCTGACTTTAACCCAAATGCTAATCAGATTAAGAAAATCTGATTGAAATAGCACTCTGAAATCTGCTTACAACATTGACTATATGGGCCAGGTAACCTGCTTTCTTCTTGATTTACTAATGAATCTGCAATTTGTGCAATGCAGAAGGGGATAAAGAGCAGCACTGAACGTCAGTAACCTAGCACAAGTCCAAGCAAAACACGTGGGAAATAATAGAAGCTTTGCACAATGGCATTGGCAGTTAAATCCCTTATAAAGCTCTTAATAATGGTATTTGATTTTAAAAAGCTAGGATCTGCAGTCCTTTGCAGGAATACAACATAGCTCACTGAAGTCTACAGTTCATGGTACTCCAGTGTCAATCCCAAGATGGCTGTGTACAGATTAAGAGTTATAAGGCCTCAGTGCCCTCACTAATACTAAGCCGTTTTACCAATTGTTGTGGCACATCTATGCTTCACAATCTTTTTTTCCTTGATAGTTGATACCTCCCACAGGGGACTCCAACTGCCCCCTAAATCTTGCAATGGCTTAACCAATACATCACAGGTTCCAAGTGCTAAATTGTACAGCCAGTCACCTCATGTGTTATCTGCAGTGCCACATCAATTCTCTTGTCCAAGTTTTTCATATCTTTCCTATGCAGAATCAGCACAATCAATGCAACAGATGACTGCCTAATGTTTCTTGTTACTGGTGTGTGAGGTGGGGCTGAGCAATCTCTCTAGATGGTACTGGTTGCTCAAACCCAAGGTTAAAGGTTTCAGATGGCAGCAGTGTCTAAGACCCACATGCCTGTCCTTGACTGCTCAAGTCTTGGGAAGAAAAATAACTGTGGTGACACCTAAGCAAAGTGACATCAGTGCATGGTGGTTTAAGGAGCTCCTTCCACAGGGTTATAGCATGCAGTCAGGATCCAATTTTTATTGGTAGTCATAGGAAAATATAGCCAAAGCATTGGGGGGGGGGGGGATTAGGGCACCCCTTTTGCAGGCCTATAGAAAAGAAAACAATACACATGCAATTGAATGTTTGGAGAACATGTTTGGACTTGGGAAGTGGAGTAAAAAATATGGTCATGCTATGTGAAACCATAGAGAATACCTTCATAAATTCAAACAGACTAAATAAGTAAAAAGTCATTTTGGTTGGTTCCTAGAAAAGAATAGGACTAATTAATAGAAATTATAAGATTATTATTGGTAGTAGTGACTCTTGTGACTCTGTGGAAGGTGCTCCTACACACCTTGTGTGCCTCCCATGTTACTGCACAAGCTGATTACCGGAATGCATACCATGCAGCCCATTTAGAAACAATTGTTTGCTAGGATGAATTATTTTATGACTCAGAAGTCTCTACAAAAATCAGTCAATCGTATGTACTACATGTGTAAAAGGAGACCTGCCATCTCTTTACCCATACATTGTAGCTAATGAACAAATAACTTCCAGGCTGTCAAGTATAACATTTTCTAAAGTCATTGGAATGATTCTATAAAATAGGTGCTTTCTATCATTTTCTTATCAAAACATTCAATTCACAACAAACATAAAAATAGCTTAAGTGTGGAATTGTTATTTTCTTCTTGTGTGATATAGACAACTATTAAATTATTCAAGTTACTAGTCATGTTCTCACAATAGAGGGAGGCACAAAAAATGTAAACCAGTACAACATGTACTTGAACATAGACCCTGATTATTGCATAACCTTCTTGTGCTTTAAACCTTCATCAAATGTGAAGCCAGAGGTTGCTGTGAAGATCTGAAGAAGCAACTGATGCATTATCTAATCAGAATGTGTAATCCCCATATTTAGTAGTCAGACCTAATCTCATCAAGTGTAGAAAATGCCCCTGATCCCCAAGCTCAACATCACCCAAATCCAGAAAATCAGTGAAGGAGGTCACTGTTAATTTCCTGCAAAAGATAGAAGAGAGCATGCAGTAGGACAGTAGCTGAACATAGGCTGGATAATTAAATGCTGCTGAGCAGTGCGAGCTAATATGGGCTAAATTCAGTTTCTCTTCTGTCATTTGGCAGCTGGTTTTTGCTGGTCATCACAGCTTTGCATTAATCAAGCCTCAATCTTTTTCTATATAGGAGTAGGAGTCTTCGATCTCCAGCCAACATGTTCATTATCAATCTAGCTGTTAGTGACTTCTTCATGTCCGTAACTCAGGCACCAGTGTTTTTTACAACAAGCCTACATAAGAGGTGGATCTTTGGAGAGAAAGGTAAATAAAACATTTTCAGTAACACTAAAGCTAAGTAATAGTAAGCATGGTCATTGGACAAGTAGGTCACTCATCACAATATTGGATTTTTACAGTATTTCTCTCAGTTGTTGTTTTAGTAACTGTTTGAATTGCACTCTGATCATAACCTAAATTAAAGGGCTCATTATAATGTTTACCAGTGCCATAACAATTACATTGATTATTTTTAATAGTGCAAGTGCAATAAATATTACAAATTATTTCTGACAAAAATGAATATGCAAAATTGGTCAGTGAAAATGCATGGCATACTGGAGGTCGTTATTTGACCTGAGACCACTAAATTATCTTGTAAAAGATAATGGTCAAACCTGCTGAAATAGACACATAATGGAGTTGAGAATCAAATTCTATATACTATAGTTATGGGTCTCATAGTCTATATTCTGAAGTGTATGGAGATCACCAATAGAGTGGCAGCGTAACTACCCACACTATGCAAGAAATAATATGATATTCTAATAGTAACTGGTTGAATAAATCATTTTCAGGAAGTATTGAATCCTTAGAAATAACATACAAAGTTTTGAAGTCCATACCAAATGTTCAGAAACAAGTCTGATTTGCATGAAGCCGGCTGTACTCTCGGCACTGACGAGAGTACTTTCACTGCCCCAAACATGTCCATGCCACACAATTTGACAGCTCTGGTTAACACACCACAATTTACAATTTAAAACAAAAATGCTCAATTTTTTATATAGTGTTTTCTGGGACCCCCAGCTTATGGTTTGCCATGGTTCTGTAAAAAAACAAACTGAATGTCATTACAACTCTATGAACCCAATTCAATTAGTGACAATCTAGGGACCTACAAAATGTGCTGTGAGATCCTCTTTCATGATTCAACCTACAGAATACTAACACCCCTGATGTCTATAAATCAGGCAAGTCAGCATAAGAGGTCAGGCACAAGACACTGAAACAAACTGACTAACAAACCTACAAATATGTTCTTAAGACATTGCTTGATCAGGAATAATCATCCTGATGCCCCTGATCTGCTGTTTCTAGTGCCCCCATTGTGTATACAACCTGTAGACATTTTGACAATTTTGAAGTTTGAAGTGTGACATCACCTTCAATTATAAAATAAGATATTTTACAATAAAGATCCTGGAATCTGGATATCATGCTGGAACAAGTGTTTCTTCAGTCCTAGAGCTTCCAGCTGTTCTTGGGGGATCTTACTATTAAAGGAAACCTATGCTGAGAGACAAATTTAGGCTACATTATTGACCTTATTCTAAAAGTGCTAGTTACCTAGCTGCCTGACTTCAATACCTTAAGGCACTGACCTGGAATCATGCAACAGAGCTGATTGGAGTGAAGTCAAATCTCCTGATATCCATACTTGTTCCTGGTCAGCATCTCAAATGTACTAAAGCCAATGGATCAGAATACCAGACAGGCAATTTGCATTTTTAGAAAAAAATGGCAGTTTTTCATATTCATAGTACACATTTTCCTTGAATTTATTTTTGGATTTAGTAGTCATCAAAAAATACTCGTCAAAAGTTCACCTATTTGTTGTTATTACTGATATTCACATAAATTGGTAATTTTGAGCAAACAATGGCCACCGACTTGATAGCCATGCCAAGAAAAATTTGTCTTTAGTATTAATAAGCCAGAATGACAGGTGCTGCTATGTGATAAATACATCTGACATGGTATGTGGTCATGACAACATCTCATAAACAGGCAGATATCTCCTATTTGACTTTATTAGTAATTTGTGGCCTTACCTCACAGAGATAATTGCCTATAACTGTGTTCTGTGACAGCAGTGGTGGGCTGTGAGGTCAAACATACTGCATTTGTTCAGTGCAAACAATGGACACTCATAAAACGGTCTAATAATAGTGCTGCCATGATTACTTGAAAGAAAGTTCAAAACTTTTGTATTAGACAGTTTACTTCTCATTCAGCAGCTTGGAATGGGTGTCTGTTTTCAGCATTGCATTGAGGCAGGGAAAAAGCAGCTTTATTATTTTACAGGATTTATAGTATATAGCGCAAACAGTTTATGCAGCGCTTTATAACATAAGGGCAGACTATACAATTACAATACAATTTAGTACAGTAGGGATCAGAGGGCCCTACTCATTAGCGCATACAATCTAAGAGTATATACAGGATTTATATAGCGGTTGTGATTTCACTGCACACTGTGGGAACCATACAGTGTGTATTAGATGCTGCAGCAAGTCAGATAGAGCCTACATCATTTCCTGGCTAGAGGATGCCCAGCATTATCTAACTCTTCCATTCCCAGGCTTACGGTTGCGGTCTTGCCCCTTTAATTAATTGAATTGCAATTCTTTCAATCATGGAGGCTCAAAATTACACGTGGGTGTTATCTAGGGCAGTCAGGATGCAAATAAATCTGTCTAGGAACATCTTTTTTTCCAGGCTGATATCCACCCATCAATGAATTGTGATATTTGATTAACTCCTGCCACAAGCCTGCCTGCTGGCATGCATGTGGGAACTGTGTGATGTCACCTTTATTTGATGATTTAAGTGAAGTGTTAACATGATGGCCCACCCTAGGAGGATAACATCTTTTTACCTACTAGTGACACCTGTCCTGGCACTGACTATGAATTCATTTTTAGGGAAATAGAATTGAACACTGATTTTCCTTCATCAGTTCTTACACATGCCACACTTGACACTTAAAGTGGTAGTAAACTCTTTTTTTTTTAACTTTTACCTGCAGGTAAGCTTATAAGAACGCTTACTTGTATTTAAAATGAATATTTCCTAAACATGCACTGCTTAGGAGATATTCTTTTTTTCTTTTTTTTTAGAGCCAGCGTGTTTACTCTGAAAGAAACAGCATGCCTGTTCCTTCAGAGTACTGTGCCATGGCCCAGACTCCCGCGTGCCTGTGTGGGAGTGATGCCACCGTGGCTTTGCCAGTCAGATGACCGGAGCTTGCGAATCCAGAAGGGAGAATGGGTGATGATGAAAGCTTCTGCAGTGGTGACAGTGCACCACTGGAGGGCTTCGTTTTAAGGTAAGTCCTTCATAATGTGTTAGTATGCGATGCATACTAGCACTTTATGACATTACCTTGCAGGGGATTTTGTTCTTTTACCTGGGGTTTGCTACTGCTTTAACTCTTCAGCCTTAAGGCATGGAGGGAAGATGTTGTATACTTCACGAGACCTCACACGCCATGGTCCAGGACTAGTCCGTAGAGGGTTCTGCTATGTAGCAGGCCCTAACATAGGGTCCCTGATGCTTATAAGGGCAGACCATACAGCCACCAATCCATCCCTATGAAGAACCTCCTTCACTGGTCACCACCGCATCCACTTCCGAACTGACTGCTTCTTCTTCCTTCCATCTCTTACTCTCCATCACCTGTGAAGGTGAAAGTGAATGTTTCTACCTTGTCCCTCATTCCTATTCACTGTTGGATCTCACTCTAACAAGCAATTTCTTTTACTGAATAAAAGTTGACATAACCACACAATTTTTCTTTAAAATCACATGGCAATGCTCTTAAATATTAGTTAGTCCCATTCCAGGGTTCCGCTGAGAGGCAACCCCACTGAGATGTGACTCTGCATCTGCCAAAGTATGGTCCTTCTCGCTCCCACTAACAGCCAATTCCAACCTCCTTGCCCAACCCCCTTTCTGCTTCAATACCACTGCTACTGAAAGCACCACAGGCCAGGTCAGTGTATTAACCCTTACATCACTGAACACTATTCAAGGATTCTTGAGAAAGGTACTGTGGCAGGGTGCTGTGATGTTTTTCCTGCACCCTGTAACATTACAACACATTACAGCACCCCTTCCACCTACCATGATCTACCTGCATTACACAGGGCAGCACAGAGACCTAGTGATGACATTGTATGGCCTAAAATAAGGTATGTAATAAAAACAGAAAGTTATTTGAATTTATGAACCATAATGGCAATGCCAATATAGGCAGATTAAACATTAGCTTTAGATCATATCAGATGACAGCACTGAGCTTGGAGCATTCTATCATACTGTATGCATCGGTGAGTAATCCCAATAATAATTTGTATTCATAAAACGTGTACTTACTCCTGTTGCATAAAGTTTTCCAGCATGTTCCCAGGCACAGCCCCAGCACTGTTATCAGAGATTCCACAGGCAGTTGTAACGTCAGCATCATGGGGACACAGCAACAGAGGTACATTTATTATTTTGTAGCACTGTATCCTATATATTCTTGTCTTGGTGTCACAGGACAGAAAGTTGGCAGGAGGGTACTCCCTCATAAGCACACAGACAGCAATAAGAACTTGACATAAATTCTGATTGTTACCCTAATGGATGGACACTGCAAGAAATGTTTTGTCTAGAGTTGGGCTTTAAGAGTTAATATTCTGTTTTTTAAATGCCCGTTTTGACTGTTTCTCTTTCAAAGCACCTTGCAAACAGCAGTTCATTAAGTGATAGCAAACAATTTGACATGATCTTTGGATAGCTGAAAGATGATATTTGGTTGGCTGCTGTAAGTTATCATCTGCTCTTGGTCTTTGTAAAATTGTAACTCTTGATGAATGTAATTCTTAAGAAGGATTGGGACTAGGCTGCATGATTCACTACACAGCTTTCATAATAAATTGCAGAATTCTTGTCATATTTAATTCTATTGTTTTTTCCTATTCTAGGATGTGAGTTATATGCTTTCTGTGGCGCCCTGTTTGGGATCACATCAATGATTACACTGATGGTGATTGCTGTGGATAGGTATTTCGTAATCACCCGACCACTTGCTTCCATTGGAGTGATGTCCAAGAAGAGGGCAGTGTTAATCCTTTTAGGTGTTTGGATATATTCTTTGGCCTGGAGCCTTCCTCCCTTCTTTGGTTGGAGTAAGTCTGGATGACTGCTTTGAACAGATAATATGAATTAGGAATCACAGTGCTTTCTTAGAGTCAACCATAGCTTGCCTGTCATATAACAAAGATTATTTGCTTGTAATTTATTTTCAGAAATGGAAAGAACTAAATGTCTTAAAAGACCCATCTTTATAAATGTAATTGTTTTTGTTTGAAATTTTACAAAGTAGAAAACAGAAAAGTTTATTAAATCAAAAACATGTCAAAACATAAAAAAAACAAAATTACACAGCCTAAGAGAGACAATTCATTTCAGAGGAAGCACGTTTCATCCTCTAGAAATACATTTATCTTGTCTTCTCCTCTTGTGTAAACTGAATCGGTGTCAGAATAATTGTATAGGCAGCCCTTAAAGGAACCAGACCCCGAGAAAAAAAGCTTGCTTTTGCAACAGTTGTCTGCTTAGATTAAGTGATGTGTTAATGCAGAGAGTTGGGATTCGTGTTACGATATAATCCAAAGTGCATAATTTAAAATGTACTCTGGGTTTGGCTCTTTTGAATATTAACCTTCAACCACCTAAAATAAGAAATTCTTCCTAAATACATTTATTAACTATCCATACTGATATTTTTTACTATAACTTTTTCTTTTAATAGAAACTACCTGGTGATCCTGACATTCCTAGGGCTTTTTTTCTTCCTGGTGGCAACATTTTGCAGACTCATAGAGCCTCTGCAGTATTGCCACTAGACGTGTGCACAGCCGCAATCTTCATTTTGTTTTTGTTTAATTGTCTAATTGAAGAATGTAGTTTTAGCAGATTTATTATGTTGTGTAATGCTACAGATTTGTTTTCAGAATTCATTTTGTATCTTTGCAGTTGTTTCATATATTTCTTTGTATCAGAAGGATTCAATATTGTTGAATCCAATCCGAATTAGCTGGTTGTTAAGGAATGGGTGTCCACTGTGTCCATAACAACCATGATTCATCTGTTCTCAGCGAGATTCACCACTGAAAGCAGAATGTAAACAAACAAGCTCAGTCAAAAAAAAAAAAAAAAAAGCGTGAGGATCCCTCCCAATCTATAACAGGCTCTTCGGAGGCCCTTGAGGGGAACACAACACCAAAATTGAAAAAAAAAATGATGTGGGGTCCTTACTAAAATCTATATTTCCCAGAATCTCACTGACAGCATATAAGTCATGGCTGTTAAGGACATGGCAGCTACACGCTCCTTATCAACCAGCTATTTACAATGAATTCAATATGTATTGGACTATATCGAAAATCTGAATGAAACAAATGCATTTGGGTTTTTTTTGCTATATCTTTTTTTGGATTCGTTGCCATTCGAATCTCTGAAAGCAAAAAATGTTCATCTGAAAAACAGATCAAAACAAAATGAATAGCACATGTCTAGTTGCCACTACAGTGTGCATGCTGGTTAGTAAGCCAAGTACGTAAGGTGTGTATTACTATACTGTGTGATTGCTGTTCTTAGTAGCACAGCCCACATGCCATGTGACATCGCTGTTACATGCCCTTCCCTCCAAGCCATTCAGAGTGTGGTGTAAGTCAGGCGAGTGTTCAACCCCCTAGGCCAGGGGTGGGCAACTGTGGCCCTCCAGCTGTTCTAGAACTACAAGTCCCATGAGGCAATACGAAACTGACAGCTACAAGCATGACTCCCAAAGGCAGAGGCATGATTGGACTTGTAGTTCACCAACAGCTGGAGGGCCACAGTTGCCCACCCCTGCCCTAGGCAGCTCAAATGGTTGACTGACAGTGCACTCTGCTCTGAATGATATGGAAGGGGAGAGAGCATGATAGCAATGTCACAGGAAATTTGATGACCTGCGATTTATCTCTGCTCACTCCTAGGCCAAGCTGCGGTGAAAATAGGATCACATGACCAAAGGAAATTTTTTTTAAAAAAAAAGTACAGATTAAAGAAATGTGTAATTTCATTTGTGGCCGTTGGTGTGACCTACCTACCCAAGGGGGCAGATGAGTGAGTTTATTAACACTTTAAATGGGATAAAAAATGGAGAAAACCATTTGTTCTCTGTATAACTGCTTATAACAACTTTTCATCCTGATTTTTTCTCTGATCTTTAACTAGGCTTTAATTTGTGTAATGGCAAATGTATTTTTTGCAATGTTAGTAGCTTTCACATTTTTACAAACTTGCTCTTCTATATTCCTTTTATTGTATTAAACGGGTAGATGTGTAGTTAAGCACAACTAACAAAGTAGATTACACCCTGTTCCAAATTATTATGCAAATTATATTTTAATCATTTTCCTAAATAATTGATGTAAATAACAGTCAGCAAAATTCTCATGTTATCAACTATTAAGAGTACAATTCAAATTTTATTGAACAAACCTCCTAATGATAACAGTATTTTTTTTAAGCATAAAAAACTTACAATGCACTGTTCCAAATTATTACACACAGTAACTTTCAAAACACTTTACAGGTTGTAAAGAACTGAAAATTGTCATTTGTTGTGTTTGCAGCATATTTACTGAAATCAAAAGCTATTTCAATCAAACTTTTAACAACATTTTAACTTTTTAAACATTTTAACAGGTGACGTTACATTTTAACATAGGACCCCTTATTTGATAGCAGCTTCACAAGTCTTGCATCCATTGAACTTGTGAGTTTTTGGACAGTTTCTGCTTGAATTTGTTTGCAAGATGTCAGAATAGCCTCCCAGAGCTGCTGTTTGGATGTAAACTGTCCCCACCCTCATAGATCTTTTGCTTGAGGATGCTCCAAAGGTTCTCCATAGGATTGAGGTCAGGGGAGGATGGAGGCCACACCATGACTTTCTCTCCTTTTATCCCCATAGCAGCCATTGATGCAGAGGTATTCTTTGCAGCATGAGATGGTGCATTGTCATGCACGAAGATGATTTTTATTACGGAAAGCATAGTTCTTCATTGTGTACCAGGGAAGAAAGTGGTCAGTCATAAACTCTACATACTTTGCAGAGGTCATCTTTACACCTTCGGGGACCGTAAAGGGGCCGACCAGCTCTGTTCCCATGATTCCGGCCCAAAACATGACTCCACCACTGCCTTGCTGACGTCGTAGCCTTGTTGGAACAGGGTGGCCGTCCACCAACCATCCACTACTCCATCCATCTGGACCATCCAGGGTTGCACAGCACTCATCAGTGAACAGGACTGTTTGAAAATTAGTCTTCATGTATTTTTCTGCCCAATGCAGCCGTTTCCACTTGTGAGCATTGGTTAGTGGTAGCCGAATAGAAGGTTTATGCACAGTTGCCAGACTCCGGAGGACTCTACACCTTGATGTCCGTGGGACTCCAGAGGCTCAGCAGCTTCAAATATCTGTTTGCTGCTATGTAATGGTATTTTAGCAGCTGGTCTCTTGATCCGATGCAGGGATCTGGCAGAAATCTTCCTCAATGTGCCTTTATACCTCGGCCAAGGCATTGAACTATTTTACTCTTTTCGGCAGCAGAGAGATCCTTTTTCTTCCCCATATTGCTTGAAAATGGTGCTCTGCTTAATAATGTGGAACACCCTCCTTTAGTAGTTTTTCCTTGCATTGGGCTCACTTGCCAATCTAATTATCACAGGTGTCCAAGATTGTTTTCAGTGATCAAAAGAGCCCTGAGACACAATGCCATCCATGAGTTAAACTGAAAAACTTAATATTTACTCTTTGTGACACTTAAATAGAATGTGCATAATAATTTGGAACAGGGTGTAGTTTCTAGAATGACCCTACCTTATAGATGTTGAGATGAGATATCAGCCACACAGGGAGAGCTTTGTTTTTAATAAGTTGGACAATTCTCAGGCCAGATTTTGGTAATGCACGACAAGGTATATTATGTACATTGGTGCTTTGTAGTACCATTCATTCTGATTCTGAATAGCCCCCTATGCACCTTCCCAACGCACCAGCGTTGCAGTGCAACAAAACTACCGCAAACTTGGTGGTGCATGAATGGGCTGTGTTAACACATTGCGCAGATGTGGATTTCCCTTTTAGATTTGCATTTTAAGAAGCAGTAAAGTTTAACTATTGTGTAGGGCTGTGAAGAAGGAAGCAGAGTCTGTACTCTGTATATGTAAGTAGAAACAGAGTCTGTAAATATGCAAGGAGGTCTTTTACACCTTGTTTGTATTTGCCATGCTCTCGAAGAGTATTTGACAGGCAGTGAGGTGTTGTATGGCCTTGTCACCTTATCACTGCCCGCTTTAACCCCATGAATCCCACATTAGTGGGGTAACTTTGAGGCACTCCATTCACTTGAATTGGTTGCGTTCAATGGGCAAAACTGCCTGCTGAACGTGACATTGGGGATACGTTTTGCTGCACCGCATATTGAAGCATCTCAGCCACGGGATGTTTACACAACTATGTTGCCTTTAACCACTTCAAGTCTGGACACTATCGCCCCCTTTCAGTCCAGGCCAATTTTCAGCACTGGTAAACTTTAAAGGACAATTGCACGGTCGTGCAACATTGTACTCTGGGAAACACTGTGAAAATTTTATAATTTTTTTTTTCACACAAATGGAGCTTTCTTTTGGTGGCAGTTGATCACCACTGGGTTTTTTTTAGTTTTTGCTATATAAATGAAAGTATACAGAAAATATTGATAGAAAAAACTGTTTTGTTTTTGTTATAACGTTTTGCAAACAATATTTCTTCATAAATTTAGGCCAAAATGTATTCTGCCATATTTTTTGGTAAAAATAACCCAAAACAGCGTATATTATTTAGTCTTTGTGAAAGTTTTTGAGTCTACAAACTAGGGGATATATATATATGAAAAATTATCAGTTGAGATGCTAAAATGCTGGACACTGGTATGATGACTAGCAGTGATCATAACACTGGTATGGCAATGATCAGGATGATGGTATGGGGTATGGTGGTGATCAAGATGCTGGTATGGCATATGAGGTGATTAGGGAGCTGGTATGGGGTATGGTGATAATCAGGACACTGGTATGGGGTATGGTGGTGATCAGGA